ATTATGAACTCAGGACACCAAAAGATTCAGAATCCGTTCTCACAACTACCTGGCTCCCGACCCATTTATCGTACCATATCTGGAATATGCAGGTTTTGGACATGTGATAAAGATCTCCAACTGCACAATTGATTCGAAGTTCATTCTTGCAATGTTGGAAAGGTGGAGACCAGAGACCCATACATTTCACCTACCAATAGGTGAATGTACCATCACGCTAGAGGATGTGTACATGCTACTAGGTCTCCCTGTCGACGGTAAGACCGTGAACGGGTCGGTTCAACAACCCAACTCTCAGTGTGAAGAACTGTTGGGCAGGGATTTGGTTGACAGTGGTGGTGCGAGAGGTCAGGGAATACTACTCACTGAGCTTAAAAGTCATTATGCAAGTTTGGAATTAAACGAAAATTCCTCCGAGCAAGACAGGGTAGTAAAAGCCAGAACTTATCTTATGATACTATTTGGTACCTTTTTATTTCCCGAAAGTACGGGAAATAGTGTAAATTTTATGTATTTACATTTACTAAGAAATTTTGAAAAAACAAGAAAATATAGTTGGGGTTCTGCAGTTTTAGCCCACCTATACAGTTCCTTGTGCAAAAATGCAGTCAAGGAAAAATGTACATTTTATGGGTGCGCTTTTTTACTACAAGTCTGGGGTTGGTGGAGGATTGAGTCCTTAAACCCCGTCAACAACAACACTTTCGTTTTCCCGTACGCAACAAAGTAAGTCATCAAGTTATATCATTTATTAGTATTCATCTCTTCACCAAATATATGCTAAGAATAAAATGTTATTCATTTCCTTTAGGTACTGCGTGAGGGGTATGGATTACGGCAAGAATCCAAGATTCAATGTCGCACTATACCGCAATCTGTTGGATCACTTAGGCCCGGATGATGTACGTCGTAGCTTTAAACTTTTCTTCATTTAAATTATTTATACATTACTTTTGCGTTAATCTGATTTAAATTTTATCGCAGTTTGTCTGGAGACCATATCTGGGTTTGGGCCATGATCCAAACCCGGAGGATGTAGCAATTTGGACCGCGAAGACTGCAATCATTTGGTTCAACATTGTGGAGATGCACCACATCGACCGTGTGAAGATGCAGTTTGGAATGCATCAAGAGATACCAAGTGATCCAACTTGTATGTCCCCGTGGCATCTTAAAAGGGTCGACGCCCAGTGGGGTCTTACCAACTGGAAAGACTTCGCTCCGGAATGGTGTAAGATGTGGCAGAGGCGTCACCGCTATGTCTTGCAATTCCCGGTTTTCCTTAATCATGGTAATATGCGACACACGGATCAATATTTATCTTGGTATAGGTCGGTTAGTAACCCTGAAATGCACGTGTCTCATCCAAGGTACTTGGCTGACCCATGCACACAATGGGCACGGCCCTCATTTCCCCAACAACAAACCCAAAATCCATCAACCTCCCACCAACCCCCAAGAAGAAACAGACCCACAAACACCCAACCACAGTCCCCACCACAACACAATTACACTCAAATGCCTCACAACCAACCACAATCACCACCTCACTACCAATACCCCGATATGCCTCACACCCAACCACAATACCAATCACAATACCAACACACCCGCATACCCCACACACATTTTCAGTCTTCTATATATCCCAATATGGGCCCCTCAACATCCAGCCTTAGCCCTGATATGGGAATGTCAGAAGATTACGAACAAACCGACCCAGCCTACCATCAACCACAATATTACCAAACCACCCAACATCATCAATACCAAACACCCCAAGATCCATTTCCTTTCTACCCACCGTACTCAGACGATCAATGCTACAGACCCACCATGGAACCCCACCCACCGCCAACACGACCAAACTTTGAGGGTATGGGTAACTGACTGTACCAAAACGGATCTTCTAGATATGGAGATCTGATTGATTTTATGGATCCGGACCGCATTGACTTCGCTGGGCCATCGACCCTGCCGCAGCAGGAAACGCGACGACACCCAACACGGGAAAGACGAGGACGGGGATGCGAAACCGGGGGTCATTATCGAGTTCCGGGGGATCACTGATTTATCTGTTTTTTTTTTCCTGTATTTTTTTATCTATTTTTTTTATCTGTTTTTTTAATGTAATACAGTTGGATGTAATTATTTTTTTTTAATAAAAAGTCTATTTTGTTGATCCTGTATCCAATACGCAACGCACCGGACAAAAAAAATCAAATTTTGCCCTAAAATAACACCTAGGCGCCATCTCACTTGGCTTAGGGCATGCCCTAAGCACATAGGCGCCAAGTGAGATGGCGCATCCCCTTAAAAAATGGGAGTATGCGCCAATTCAGATGGCTCCTCCTTGGGGGAGTCATCTGAAACATGGTTATTTGCGTAATTTTTTCCGAAACGCAGTTATTTGTGAAAAAAAATTTTAATACATGGTTATTCAAAAAAAAAATTCGGTGTAATTACACAATTTACACAAATACTTATAAAAAAATCATTAATAATTTTAGATGACAGTCTCCATTAACCTAATATTTATTACTAAACTACTACTTATAAAATAATATTTTATATTTAATATAGTAGTTAATTTGAAGATTTTTTATAATATTGGTATTGTATAGCAATTATTACTAACCTAATATTTATAAAAAAGTATTTTATATTTAATACAGTAGTTAATTTGAAGATTTTTTATAATATTGGTCTTGTATAGCAATTATGAATGTGTAAAATAATCAAATATTATTTAGTAATTTAAAAAATATGTAAATTATTTTAGATAAAAAATATTCGTATTTAATTTGAAATTTATTTTTTGACAATGAATTTATAATAAATCAAATGTTTGTATTTAATACTTTTTAAAAGAAGAGTAAGGGTGGTGGTTAAATAAACAAAAGATATTTATTTTTGGTTAAAATGAGGCTGAGTTTTAGGTGGGATGCAAATTCTTAGGCATTTAAAAGGGAGGCTGAGTTGTGTATTTTAAGAAAATCATTCATGCATTGTTACCTGAAACGTCACCCTAACTAATTAGGTGGTAGGGTAATAACATTAATTACAATAATAATAATAATTATTATTATTATTATTATTTTTATATTATTTTATTGGAAAGAGGGGTTGAGTTTGAGATGTAGGCGGATTGGGTTTGAGAATTAGGCGGCAAAGTAGTAGCATAGTATTTTGCCTTAATATATTAAGGATATCCGCATCAATTTACATGCAAACAAAATCCATACATTTGAAAAGAAATTTCATATATTGTTTCGATTTCTTTGATAACATATATTTATTTAAAATGAATATATATCTTTCATCATATTTAGGAATAATCAAATATGTATCTTTATCTTCTATCAAAGTTTCAACCACAAAGTAATCATAAAAATTCATAAATCAAGATTCCATAATTTTTAAAAATTATATAAATTAATTGTGTATCTTTCATCATCATTGAAAGTTGTTATCATCTTATTTAAAGTTGCAACCTTTATATTAATCACAAATAAAATTTAAATCAAATAAAAAATCGATCCTAAAAATGGTTAGATCTTGTGTTGGAGGTCTGCTGCAAAACATGAACAAGAAAAAGATGAAATCGGTACGAAGAAAATTGCACAAAAGAAATTTTAAAGTATGTATTTACACTAAACTTTAGATTCGATTCGCCCCCATCAATTTAGGCAAATTGGATTCAAATAGGTTAACCAGTAAATCCCTTTCAGGATACTTTGGAAACCTTAATATGAATCTCACATCCACATTAAGCATATTGATCAAAGATATTTTACAGAATAACGTTCTTTCATTTATTCTCGTATACTAAAAAAATAAAAGAGTAATGTAGATATGATTTTTGCTACTTGAAATATATTATTTTTGTGTTTCTTCAATGTCTATCAAACGTCTCTATTTATAGAGAAATTTATGTCCTTTGATGAAGGGAAACAACTCTTTAAAAGATTTTGGTCAGGAATAGTACATTGTTTCAATTTTAAATTATTACACATTTTCTTTAAAATATCTTTTTTAACCATTGTAATTTTTCAAATATATTTTGGAAATTTCAGTAACACTTTATAGCATGTAGAAATTAACATAGGCCATGCATTATATGGAGATAGTTTCATGCTTGAAGAGTTTATCATTTTGTCTAACAAAATCACATGATGTCTAGAATGACTCAGAGATATGTTGTACTATAGTTTGTCTTTTATGTCTCAGAAAACCAAATCTGTAATTTCATATAGCGAGCAAGATTACTCATATTTCACAGGTTCTTAAGTGCAGGAAGGAATGAACATTTTAACGAATAAATAAAAAACAGTGGAAGTGTTTGAGCAATTGGATTCATTGTCATTAAACGTTCCAAGTTTACATTTTGATAACATGTTCTAAAAATACTTGTATAAAATTTTCAATTAGATAACATGCCTCATTTGCAAAATTGTCTCTAGTCTACTTAACTATGTCAGTCTCTTTCACTTTCAAATTTACAGACCATTCAAGCTAGAAGTAGTATGTTGGAATACATCTTCTGTGCATGGAATGGTGAGGCCCCCCATCGGATGATTGTATCCAAACTCTTCCTCGACTTGAATCAACAAGTCTTGATGAAAATGTATAAGACAACACCATGTGGTTGTTCATGAGCCGTTGTCAAATACCAAACCACATTACAAATCCTATTAAGAAAGTACTAACCATTCTATTCTTAGATAAAGATATCATAACCGGCACCTTTGAAATAATTTACCTTGTTACTGTCACTGTTATACTCATATTTCCTATGTTTTTAAGTGCAATAGACAAGAAAACAAAGAGGAGATGATTGAATAATCAGATTCATTCTCATTAAACAAAAATATATCTACTAACTAAATTCGTCAATCTAATGGTCATTTTCTTCCTGTTTTTACAATTTGCATAAATGCCTAGCTTACAACAAAAAAACAATCTCTACTAAACTATTTCAGTCTCTTTTGGTTTCAGAATCATAGCCTATTCAAGCAAGAAGTAATGTGTTGAAAGACATCTTCGGTGCAAGGAATGGTGAGGCCACCCATTGGATGATCATATCCAAACTCTTCCTCAGCTTGACTCAACAAGTTTTGAAATGATGGTTGGTTCAAGTATGAAATGGGGATCACAAACCGCTTCATTTCTTCTCCAACATACACTGCAAGGTATCCCTTTGGCACGTCTACAACTTTTGAAATTGCTCGGTTTGCAGAAAATGATGTCTTTCTGATCATTTTAGGGAAACGAAAACCCATTGTCGTTGAAACTTGAAATGAAGTTGTTTTAAAGAAGACTTGTAAGCAAGGGGAATATTTTAATATTGTAATGCTTTAGAATGTGAATTAGTTGTGTTGGTCCTAAATGGTTGTAGCAATGAATATATATAGATAAAGAATATTGAGAAACTGTTGGCTACTTGAGTTATTGGTGAAGGAAGGTATACTAATCTATAGTAGAGATTAGCAGGATGGGGTCATAGGATATACAAGGAGACAAGAGCATAAATAAGATCACATGGCATTGTCTTTGAGGTCTTTCCAAAGTTTAATTGACCTTGATACTTGTTTAGCAAGGAAGGGACCCCACAGTTATGTTATGGTATGCAAAATTCATGGAGTTTGTCTTACGAAAATATAAAATGTGGTTCATAGTGATCTTGTATTCAATATTGGTTCTCTTCTTGTCACATAACCTTAGATGTTGCACAAAATTCTGGTACATTAGTTTGTAAATGTATATTAGCTGGATTCTCAATTTGAAGAAACATGTGATGTGAGATGTGTAAACCATGCCTACCTCAGAATGTGGGGTATGTAAGCACTTGTTCTTCCATTTAACTTCCTTATCCTTGAAAGTGACTTCTATAGTACCATGTGCGATCCCTTGTCCCTCACTAAGCCCTACTACAACTCAAGTGACTTCGAATAGTTACTCGTTAAGTGTTAACTATGAGAATTCTTAATATATGTGAATACTGAATAGTGCTAATAGATGTTATAAATAAGAATCATATTGAACAAGAATTGATGTACGAGGTTACGATGAAAAATGAAAACTATCAATAATAACTATTGGACTTAATAATTAGCCCATCATAATAAATTTTAACGTATTAAAATATAAAATTAGATTTGTTGAAATATTAAATTAGATTAGATTAAATTAGATTTAATATTTAAATATAATTTAAGTTGCGTAGATTCAAGCCCAATCAGAATTGTATATAAATAATCATCGTTTGTATCAACAATTTTACAATTCAATAATACAAATTCTTATTTCCATTATTATTATATCTTTCTCTCATCACTAAAGTGTCTCACGCACTAACAAATTGGTATCCAGAGCTTTCAGTTATTATTCTTGATCGAGTTTTCAAGAATTTCACGTCAGAGATCGGATTTCTAGGGCAAGTGAATCAACCGTTGCGAAGATGACTTGTGATAAAGGCATTCTGAATTCTCTTTCAATGTTTGACCGCAAATATTGAATCTGATAGAAAAACAGATGCAATCCTTGTTTGGCTTCCATGAAATCTTAGAAGTGGTTATCGACGGTGTTCCAGTGTTGGCTGCAAATACATCTGATGAACAGAAAAAAGCCCACAACAAAGTAAGGAAAAAAGATTGCAAGGCTGCTTATGGCATTCAGACGGTCATCGATGCTGCTAATTTTTTACAAAATCTCTCATGCTAAAATGATGAAGGAGGCATGACATATTCTAGTGAAGTATTAAGAATGAGGTGAGAAAGTCAAGATTCATAATATGTGTCGAAGATTTAGAAACTTGTCCATCTCATGAAGGATTGTGGTGAAACCATAACTGATAAGATGATAGTTGAGAAGGTAATGAGAATGTTGACCTCTCAGTTTGATCATGTTATCCTAACTATTCAATAATCCAACAATCTTGAAACTACAAAAGTGGAATATTTAGTTGGTTCGTTGGAGGTGCATGAGATGGGGATTATCGAAAGGAAAAGAGTTCAGGACTCGATACAGATGCTGCAAGTTCAGCCATGGAAAAAGAATGATGATTCCAACAAATTCAAAGGCAAAGTCGACAAGACTCATGAAAAGAAGTCTTGATCGAGCCCTCACAAGCTTCTAGTCAAAGGCAAAGCTTTTGAAACCTCGAAAAGAGGAGGGGGAAACTATTGAAAGGACAAAGAAAAGTACTGATAAAAGCTTTTGCTTCATAAATCAGACATCAGATATGCAACTCAGAAAAATTGATTATCAAGAATCTAGGATCAATTCAAGAAGTTAAGAACATAAAAGGTTTCTCTCAAAGAAGACATTATTCATCAAATAAGTTGTTGCTTATATATCTGAAGATAATATTCAACTATCTGAAAGACTCTGACTATACAATAATGAAGCATCTTCTGGATCACTTTTATCATCATGTAAGAATCAATCCAGCAAGAAGAAAATAATACAAAGACAAGAATAAGAGATATCTTCCAAGCTAACTACTTCAAGCCCAAAGTAAATCATAAGAAGATAAGGTCTTAAGAAACTTAAGCATCTAGTTTATAGTACATTCAATACATTTAAAATTCCACTACATGTATACGTGTTGTACTATGTTGTCTCCCATAATGAAATGCTACCGTTATTATAGCTGGAAAGTGAATGTGACATCTTCGTACTACCAACAGTCTTATTCTCAGTCTATAAAAGAGACCTCATCAACATTTGAAGATTGACGAACTATCATATACTATCAAGCTTGAATCAAATTGCTAAAATACTATGAAACATCAAGAGAAAAGAAGAATCCCTATTCATATACATCTACAAATATTCTTCTAGATAAATATCAAGAACACAAGAGTTGTTGCTCGTTATTATGTTAAGTTATTGGGGATTAAACATAGAGAGTTATTGCTCATTATTTGTGTGTTAATCTTTGAGTTCTCAATAAAAAAAGTTGTTGCTCATTATATATTATTAGAGACTTTATTCTTCATTGTTGTGTTAATATGCTTTTTAGAAGAAAATATTGTAAACAAAGTTGATTGTAATTCTGTTTAGAATTGATTATTGCCTCAAGTGACTAAGTTATTAGTCTGAGACTTGAGAGTGCTAAGGTATCAACTTGGAATCTTAGACGATTGTGGTTAGTCACTGGCGGGTAGCCCGTGCATATGTAATCTGTTGAGATTAGTGGATTAATTTCTTGTTGAAGGCGAAACCACCTGAGGAGGGTGGACAAGAGTAATTGTGTTGAAGGTGATCATGGAGGAGAATTTGAAAACAAAAATTTTGAAGAATTATTTGACTTAAATGGTATATCCCATGATTTCTTTTGTCCTAAGACTGCACAATAAAATGGATTTGTAGAAAGGAAGAATAGGACTTTACAGGAAATGGCCAAAGTCATGATCAATGAAATAAATGTTGCTAAGCACTTATGGCCAGAAGTTGTAAATACAGCGTGTTACATTCACAATAGAATCTCGATTATACCTATTATGGAAAAGACTCCATATGAGTTGTGCAAAGGAATAAAACCAAACATCTCTTACTTTTATCCTTTTGGATACCTGTTTTATTTTAAACACTAAAGAGAATCTAAATAAGTTTGATTCCGAAGCACAAAAATGTATTATGTTCGGATACTCAGAACACTTTAAAGGCTACAAAGTACACAATATAGAAACACAGATTATGGAAGAATTAATTCATGTTAGGTTCGATGATAAGTTTGACTTAGAAAAGTCAAAGATGTTTAAAAGTTTTGCAGATCTAGAAATAATCCTTTAAGGTTCCGATGAAAATGGAAAAAGTTTTGAAGATGAAAATGTAAGAAAAAATAATCAAGGTGATGAAATATCAGAAACACAAGCATTCGAAATCGCACCTATTCAGAAAAGGAAAAAAGAGATTAACATTTTCTGAAGAATTGATTCTGGGAGATAAGACTGAACCTGTCAGAACAAGATCTACATTTAAGAAAACTGAGGAATCACTTCTAGGATTTGTCTCTCTAGTAGAACGAACATCACATGATGAAGTGCTTCATGAAAATGAATGGATTTTGGAAATGCAAGAAGAATTGGATCAATTTTCCAAAAATGATGTATGGGAATTGGTAAAAAAGCCTACAAGAACTCATGTGATTGGAACCAAGTGGGTATTCAGAAACAAGCTCAATGAAGAGGGAGAAGTCGTCGGAAACAAGTCCCAACTAGTCGCACAAGGTTACAATCAACAAGAAGGTATTGAATAAAACGAAAACTTTTCCCATGTCTCCTCGTTAGAAGCTATTCGTCTTCTAATCTCTTTTGTTGTTCATAACAATATAATTCTATATTAAATGTATATCAAAAGTGTGTTTCTAAATGAATATATTTATGAAGAAGTATATGTACGCCAATCTCCTAGTTTTGAGAATACTGAACTACTAGAACACATTTTTAAATTAAAAAAATCCTTGTACGGTCTTAAACAGGCACCTAGAGCTTGGTATGAATGATTTATCTCCTTTCTAGTGGAAAACGGTTTCTCAATAGGGCATGTGGACACTACTCTCTTTTGCAAATTTTTTTGAAATGATCTTATGATATGTCAAATCTATATACACGATATAATTTTTGGTTCAGCTAATCCCTCTATTTGCAAAGAATCTTCTGAGCTAATGCAGGAAGAATTTGAAATGAGCTTAATGCAAGAATTGAAGTATTTTTTGGAAATTCAATTTCATCATACCTCAGAAGCTACCTATATTCATCAAACCAAATATATAAAAGAACTTGTGAAGAAATATAATATGTCATAACGCAAACCTGTTAAAACTCCTATGCATCCCACATGTATTATGCAGAAAGAGGACGTAAGTTCAAAGGTTTGTCAAAAGCTATATCGTGGTATGATAGGCTCTCTTCTCTATATGACTGCTTCTAGACCGAATATTGTATTCGATGTATGTCTATGTGCTCATTTTCAATCAGATCCAAGGGAAACTTATTTAACTGTTTTTAAGAGAATCCTAATATATATGAATGGAACTCCTAACCTTGGCTTGATGTATAAGAAAATATCAGAATACAAGTTACCAGGGTTCTGTGATGCAGATTATGCTGGTGACATGATATAACGTAAAATCACTTATGGAAATTGTCAATTTCTGGGTAATAACCTCATCTCTTGGTCTAGCAAAAGGAAATCAACGATCTCCCTATCCACAACAGAAGCATAATATATTTTAGCATCACTTTATAGCACTCAGATGTTGTGGATGAAGAAT